TTTAATTTTAAAATTTTCACAACGGAACTGAGAGAATGAATGAAATACACGTGACGTGACAGAGTTATATAACCAGAGGGCGGCCAAATGACGTTTCAGATGAGTTATGACTCCTGTCGCAATCACATGGAAGCTGTCACGGAGATTAATCGCGGTTATAATTTAAAGTTTTGCAAGTCCCGAAAATACGCTCTTTTTAATTACCAATTAATGCAGTCTCCGTATCATCATTAAGATATATAGACTATTGTAACTCATAATTGTAACTGTCACTTTGTGACATCATACGTCAATTTGAGTAGTTGTCAATCAATCAACTGTCAAATTTCTGTCACTTGTCATATTGCAACTATTAGGAATAGAATTAACAAAAATAGATGAAGGATAATCAATTGGAATGTTTTTGTTCGGGAGAACAAAAGAGCGAAAAGTGTTACGGGAATAGAACTGGAGGCGGCGGCAGTGGGGAAATGAAATTCCGCGGCGTGTTTATCCGGAAAATCGAAAATAGACAAATCGCCTGCAATTCCTCACGCAGCAGCTGTCACCGTTTGAATAGGGGAGGGAGGGGGAGGTAGGGGAGAAAACGGGAACAATCGCATTAACACACCCTCTTGGAAATCGCATGAAACGCCCCACATCCACTAATGCCAACTGTACATTTGATCTTTGATCCGTTGCCGGCAACACTCCGCCGTTCGTAGATAACATAACAACAATAACAAACAATGGAAGGCAAACAGTGGAAGGGGGCGAAACAAACATATCAATCATTTTAATACCGTCGAGTCCAGTCCAGAGCAAATATTTATCATCGTTCACCGAATTCGTTATATTCATCAATTTTAAATCAAAATTTTGTATATTCAGTATCAATATCTATTTAATATTTACCTGCGCCTATTTACTTTCGATTGTTTTGCAATTTACATTTTGTTTCAGTTCGCGATTTATCTGTTTGTTCAATTAATTCAATTTTGTATAATTGTTACCATTTATGCAAACATATTTACACCGTTTTGTGTTTATTGTTAATTATTGATTGTAATTTGGTAAGTCTATATTGACAAAAAAAAAATAACACCAAATTCGAGCAACGTTGATAGAGTAGGTCAAATAGCAAGAAACAAAAGAGAAAACAAAAGAGAAACTCACCCCATCCTATGAAGGAGTACACGCGCAGCTTGAAGTTCTCCCTGGTGAGCGTTTCCACAACGAGTATATAGAGATAGAGACCTGAAACGATTACAATTCCGATGTGTATAAACAAAAGTACAAACACACACGATACGGCGACGGCGGGTGGTCGGTTTCTTGGTATCAGAATTAAACGACGATTCGAAATTCCCGCCGCGAACCGTATATAAATCCACGGCCGCCGCCGCCGCTTCGTTTAATATGTAAAAACCCTTTTTCCGAAGCCGCACGGAATACGAACTGAATTTCACACAAAATGCAAGTTCTAAATTGTATTACCTTCGACAAACATCCAGAAGAACGTCGTCAGATGGAAATAGTGCAGCAGGATGATCAGAATCACGCAGGCGATGTGACTTTCGAAGTTCAGCTGCGAAACGATGACGTTTTAAAATTGACAGTGACAGTGACGTTGACGTTACTAACCTCGAAGATTAACGTCAGAATCCATAAGGTGTAGACGAAACCGTACGCGCACATCAGGTTCGTGTGGATGGTGTTCCTGAGGCATTTCAGATCCCTGAAAGAAACAAGAAAAAATAGAAACAGAAAGGAATGTTGTTAAGATTTTTTAAAGGATGTGGATGAATTGCATACGTCGTTCGCGATTTATCGTTCATTTGTTTGTTTCTTTTGTTGCATGGAGACGGAAAGGAATTCAGTAATTTAGTGGCTGGTCGCACGCCACTGTTTTATTCGGTTTCGCACGAAGTCGCCGGATGATTTACCGGTTTTCCGGAAATCACTTCGAGTGACTTTACGACTTGGTAGTAAAACGGGATAATCATTTCCTTAGTTCGAGACGAATAGAAAAAGCCTTGTAACAAAAATACTAAGGGTGCAGATGGAAAAACTAGGAAAAGTTAATCATTTAAACAATGTAATTCAATGATGTCGATTAAATTCTGATTAGGGCGAAGGAATTTCGATATAGTGAAATGGGTTTACCGATGATTTAAAGCTAGACTAAATATACATGTTAATGTGCGTGGGGTTGCGAGCATTTTTCAACGCTGGTGAATCAATGAAATGTAAAAACACTACTTTTTCGAGCATTTTTTAAAATTTGAACACGAATTACAGGCAAACGGCTAAAACCACAGTAATATATCGATATATACTAGATTCCCCAAACATTCAGCTTTCATA